TTAACGATGAATTTTCTTTAACTCAAAGATTTAACTTCAGCCCACATAATGAGGGGAATGAGTTCTTTTTAGAAGAGATTGTGATTCAAATGAAGTGTCAGCTAGAGAATGAAGGGGCCACAATTAGAAATATGAAAAGCCAACTAGGGTACATTGTTAATTCAATTAACAGCTATCATCCAGAGATTTTATTTAGTGACTCTAAGATAAACCTTAAGGAGAATAATAGTGAGTAAGAAAAAGCTATTGAAATAGAGATGAAAGAGAATTGAAGGATTTTGTTCAATTAAATGCAGAGTTGAGAAAAAGAGGAAAAAGTGATTGAAAGACCAATGGAAGAAATTCTTAAGGAATTAAAAAAAACTTATTTCATCATCTAAGATAAATATAGAAAGACTACCTTAACCATTTCCTCAGCCCCAAGGGGAAGCATTAGAAGAAAACTTGAAACAGAAGAGCAACCTAGTAGAATTTGATTCAGAATCTGAACTATCAAAAGAGAATCCGATCCAAAATTTAGGAGATCTTGAATTATCATTAGAGATCCATTTCATATGACTTTTAAGGATGATATTAATATGCAAATTGAGAAAACCTTCAAAGAATATTGGATCTACAAAGAAACATGAGGAACAATGTTTTGAATCAATTTGAAAAGGAAAAGCTAAAATAAAAATTAAAATTTGAGGATTTTGTAGGAATCCCTGAATCTGAAAAAGATTGGGCGATTGAGCAAGGATTAGTTAAATGAAAATTTGATCCAGGAACCTTTGTTGGGTTAGCGACATTAGATCTAGCGCTTCTTGAGAGGCAACCCATGGTTTTCTTTTGTCAGTGTGTTTCTAAGATGTAATTGCTCAAGGTTTGATATGTTTGTTCTAGTACAGATTGATCAGTTTGATTGATGTTGGTTGATTTTTGGATTGCTAGTGAATTGATTTGATCTTTATGTGTAATTGTGACTTGATCATTTTGATTGATCTTGGTGAATGTTTGGATTTTTTGTGGCTTGATTTGATCTTTTTGTGTCATGAGGGAGGTGAATCCTTAACTTCTTATGACTAGACTTATATTTGTTCTCTTATAGTAGTTGGATTGATGAGTTCACTATGACTTAGGTTTCAGCCAAATTTGAGTTTTGCGGAAGGCGTCTTGAGTTTGGACATTGATGTTCTATCTCAATTTTGTTACTTCCATTCTCTGACTTTGTTTTCATTTGGTAGGGTCGCGAAACTATTTGATGAGTAACATCTGGATGATCTTAGATTACTCGTATAATTGTTTGATGTGCTTAATTAAAGGGATAAGGTGACACCCAAGGTTGGTGTGCAAGCCAATATGTCATGGATAATCGTACCCATGGGATTAGACTCTATAAAATCATTAATAAGTACCCAATATATCTCAGTTAGAAATTGAAAGTAAAATTCTCTATAAACTTTTCATTGAACAAGACTTTGAAAACATACAAACAAAGTTCTAGATTCAAATCAAAATATAATGAAAATAATTATCTTTGATGAAAATCAAGCTCTCCTTGTATAGTAAAAGTAATCTTCTTACAATCCTCTCCAAGAACAAAGTGAAAAGAAAAGAAGAAATCTCTCACTCTCTCTCTTTCTCTTTCACCTTGCCGCCCCACTTGGGGCTCACGCCCAAGCCTTCTTCTTCTTCTTATCTAAGTCTTCTTCTCATCTTCTAATTGATTCAAGGGTCTAAGAGTTATTTTAAAAACATTTCCAAGCCTTTTTTTATAATTTTCCAAAAGATTCTTAAGTGTCTCTTCAAAACTGTCCATATTCATTGAATCTTCCAAATTATGCCTGAAGTGCCTCTTCAAAACTCGTTATAACTACCCTAAATTCTTTTATATAGTCCATTTTCTAATTTCTAAAGAATTCCCCAAGAGATGCATGAAGCACCGCTTCAAAAAACATCCAAATCCGATGTATATTCTAGAAGATATGTTGAAAACCATCACTGGTGCCTAAGCGTCGTTTTAGGGCACTTAAGCACCCCCCTCTCTGTATGGTGGCGCCTAAGTATCATTTTGGGCCCTTAAACGCCAGGCATAGGCACTTAAGTGTCCGATTTAGGTCCCCTTGGCTCCAATGTGCCCCGATTCGACTCGATTTGCTCCGGTTTGCTCTGTTTTGGTCCATTTTTATTATTTTTGCTCTAATCACTCTAAATTCTTCGATTTGATGTACCTACAACAAAAACATAAGAAAATATACCTTTAAAGTGTAATATCATTATAAAATAAAGCATAAAAATAGTACATTTTTAGGCGTATCAGTAGGCCTTTTGGTTTTAAATTGGGGTGTAGCCTGTAAAACTTTTCATTGGTGTGACCAAACATCTTTCAGTGATTGCAGTAATAGAGTTTCTGTTCAAAGATAATAGTTTACCAATATGCATTGTGAGCAGTGCCCAACCAGAATTCATCAATAGCTGGGAGAGTATTGTCTCTCTCCACTATAGCAGCAGAAGGCCTTGAAAGATTAAAGTTGGAGATATTTAGTTTCATGGGTCTACCCAACAAAGCTCCAATAAAGAAGAGGACTTTATGGTTGAAAAAATGTAACTTCAATCCAGGGAGTTTAAACCAAATTGGAACTATGGGGAGCTCTTGACTAAGATCAAACTGAGGTGTCCAGTTTATTTTCTTCATATGTTTGCCCTCAATGGGGATAAATTTTTTTGAGTAGATTTTTGCATAATCCTGCTCTTTAGCTAATTGTATCATTACATGTCTATCATCAAACAAACCCACTTGCTAGCTACCAACTAGCTTGAAATCTTCAAAGGTTTTATTAATAGCCTCCATTCTTGGGTGACCCAATAGAAATTTCTCAATAAAGTGAATTTACATTTTTTAGAGAGGTCAACCACTTCAGATTCTGAAAAAGTATGATCATGTTTCCCACCTTTTTTAGACCATCTTTTAATGAGATTGCACTATCCTCTAACTTCAAAGGCATCATTGTATGCTTGTGGAAAGATAGGTTTATCACCAAGCATGGAACTCCCTGCATTAGAAGCAAGAACTTTAGCATAGGTGGATCTTCCAATAAAGTTGGGGTCGGCCTGTAACAGAGCAGCCACCATGGATTATAGAGTCAGAAACTCGAGCAAGAGTGTTAACAAAACCACCATAGAGTAGAGCAGCTAGTTGAGCACAAACCATAGATAGAGAAAACCCACAGAGATGTAGACAAAGCTCAAACCCGCCAAAAACTAATGAAAAAGTAACTTCAAAGTTCAAAAAAGAAGAGCATAGATAGCCCCCAAACTCTCCAAACCACCAAACAAGTAAAGCCAACAAACCAAAAACCTCAAAAACAATACTAGGACTAGCTCCAATAACCAACGAACCCTTCAAAAACACCATGAACCGAAGAGGAGCCATTGAGCCCGAAAACCTAGCGTCGCAAACCTTGCTGCCATCTTTATATATGTATATATATATATATATATATATATACATATATATATATATATACATACATTACATACATACATACATACATACATACATACATAGATACATAAAGACGCACATACATAAAGACACACACACACACACACACACACAGACACACACACACTGGAATTGCATATTATCAGTAACGTTAAATGAGTGATGAGTCATTCATGTGCAAAAACATCTTATATTTCAGCATGTAAATATCTATTTAAATGTGCATGTGTTCAAGTCACTCATATTCAGTAGCATAAGCATATGATAGTCTCTACAAATTCTTTTATACATATAGTAAATTTCCCTATTCATTGGTCATGGTGCATGCTCCATTTTTGTTAATAAATAGTAATTATTTATTGAGTTTGATTCTTAAACCCACCCGTTGTTATTCTTATATAGCAAGTTTCACCTAACCACTTATCGGACCATCTCCAATGGAGCAGAGTTTCTATATTTAGATTTGTTTTGGTGTTTTTTGGTTTCGTATGAGTTATTATATTTTCTTTCAGGTTGTGTAATTGTTTCCTTATTTTCATTTTAATTTAATTGAGTTATATCAGTTGTATCCTTAATTATGGAAAATTTTTTTTGATTTTTTTTCTTATTTTTTTATTATTTGCATATTCTTTTTTTTAAGAATACAAAACAACTTCAATTCTTTTTATCAAACCCTATGCTGTCGAGGTGTACCGTCTTCTGGACCCGTGATGTAATAATCAGTGTTTAAGGCAGTTACATAAACAAAGCGATGTCAACAATGATTACGTAGAATACATATTCTTCAGTTATAAATATGTGAATGTAATAACTTATCTATGATAGTAACATTCTCTTTTAAATGAGAACAATCATGTAATTTATAAGGTCCCTCCTATAAATTATATAGAGGAGGATCAATTTTAAGGATGGGGACTACAAATAAAATTCTGCCTATAGACATAGATAATAAGTAAATCTTTCATTTATTCTGTATTGGATTTACTGTCATTTTTGTATAGGGAAAATGAAGACTTATAATTAAGTAATTAAACACATACAAATATAATAATAATAAAGAAAATACAAGATGAAGTTTTCCAAAATAATTTTTTTAATATTTAAATAATTCTTTTTTGAAAAATAAACATATAAATTATGGCAAATCATATAATTAAAAAAAAAAAATTAAAGGCAGTAGAATCTTACAGAATCATGGAGATCAAATTATCACGAAATAAAATTAATCCAACTCTAACATAAAATACCTTTCAGATTTTAAATCACAGCCAGATATGCGCATTAAAAAGCTTTTTAATATATGTTTTCTAAGATATAAACTCTCAAATACAGCAACTTGAGCTGTTAATATACTAACATTTTAACAGCATAGTTTTTTTTTTTAATTATTATTCGAAGTCTACTTGTATTCCTCGCCGTTCGCGCAGGATCTTAGGACATATGGCTTTCCACACCAAAAAAGCCCGTCCAGTTTCAGTAAACTACAAAATTGCCCCTTAAAAAGGCCGAAAAAGTGAGCATCCCCTTCGAACTTTTCGCCAGTAGTCCCCGTGGGATCCAGCTTGCTCGCTCTGATTCCTCTTCTTATCTCTCTGCAAAATTCCTCTATCTGACCTAGGGCGCAGGGAATCGAATATACCCACCTTCCTTTTTAGCTCAACTTGTTTCTCCAATCTTTCTATTCTAGCCTGCTAGGGCTTTTACTTGGAGCGGCGGGCTGAGGTGGGAGGAAAAGGGAAGTGATTTCCATTATTATCGGAGCCGTCATCGGTAACTATTCTGTAGTGGTGTTAAAGATTTGCTTGTCCTTTCTGTTCTTTTTTTTTTCCTCTCGTGATCGATAAATATTTCGGATTCTAGCTTTCTTTCTCTGCTGCGTTTGAGCAGGCGATTTGTCTCTGTTTTTTGGTTTTTTTTGGAAATTTATAAGTGATTTGGAGTATTAAAGAAAAAGTGATTTGGAGCATGGAGGTTCTGTTATTTTCGTTTTCGTCTGTTAGGAGAAGGTCCTTGCTGCAGCTTTCATTTTATCTTTTACTTTTATGTTTTTGTTTGGACAATTCATGCCTGGAATTTTGCTGGTTCTTTTTCTACAAGTTTTTTTTCTTTACGAGTTGATGGAGATTTCACGGTAGTTTGTTCGGAGGAGCTTCGGAGGGGGTTATAGGAAAATGATATCGTTTTTTGTTAGTTTGCCTGTCAGTCGTTATAATTTTTCGACGGTGCATCAATTTGCCTTAATAATTGAAATTATCAATTGATTGCTGCTTTTAAGGTATGGAAGATCGCAGGTGCAAGATCAGACTGGAGATGGAAATAATCTAGCTTAATTCTGCATTATTTCTTCAGCTTGTCTAAGTCTCTCTGCTTCCTGCTATTTTGGAAAGATTAAGCATAAAATACATTTTTTAGAACCTTTTTTCTATCCCACAGAATGTTAACTGGAAGATTCCATCATAGTTTCATTACTTATATAAAGTAATTTGACTTTATTTCTCTTTTGAACTTTAGGAAGAGTTCTGTATTTAATAATCTGGTTGATGGAGTATTATTTTAATTGCAATAAGTTGGTAGCGGTAATGTATCCTTTTCATCAGAATCTCACAAGTTCACCAACAAATCTAATATAAATGCACCTGATTGAAAAGTTGTTTTACTTTGCGCTTTTTTTACGGTCCCGGTTGGTGGAATAAAACTTGATTTGAATTTTGATGGTAGAAATGGTTTTACCTTCTCATTAGAAATTTGTTTATACCACAAGTGCTAACTTACTTGTATTTTCTCTGAAGGTTCCTATCTTTATGCTGTGGAAGGCTTGCCTGGGTTTTCTATTTCCCATCACGAACTGTTCTATCAGAAAGTGATTCTAAGATTTTTTATACTATTGTCCATCTTATTCTGGAAAATTTTGATGGCCTCTCTTTGTGACTTTTGTGGAGGGCAAAGATCAATGGTATTTTGTAGATCCGATGCTGCATCTCTTTGCCTGTCATGTGATCGCAATGTACATTCTGCAAATGCGCTATCTCGGCGGCACTCTCGAAGTCTTTTATGTGATAGATGTTTTTCACAACCTGCGACTGTTAGGTGTACTGAAGAGCGTGTTTCGCTCTGTCAGAATTGTGATTGGAACGGACATGGGAATTCTATATTATCTTCAGAACATAAAAGGCTAACAATCAGTTTCTACTCCGGCTGTCCATCAGCAGCAGAGCTTGCCAAAATATGGCCCTTCGTTCTGGAATTTCCTCAAATAATAGATTCTAGCTGTGAGCAGGGAATAATGGGCTTAATGAGCATCAATGAGAACTTTTCCAGCACTTATTTGGGACCCCTACGGCAGAGTACTTCTGATATGGCAGATATATGCAAAATGAATGACGTGAAGATCGTGAAAACTACAGATGTTCACTTTACTTCTTCTACAGCTACTCCAACTCCTATGCTATGCAGTACTGATCATCCAACCGATTCTATTGATTCAACAACACCAAAGGTGCATCAAATCTCTGCAGTTTTAGTTTGAAACAATATCTCCTATTCAGTATATCATTTGTCTGAGCTTGCTCCTTAAAGTTCCTTTTGTTTAAGACTTCATATTGGTTTATCCTTCGCACAGAGAAGGTGAAAGCCAGAAATTAAGTATGTGTATCCAAGGTATCGAAAACTGTATGCTTTAGGTAGTACTCGATCAAAATGATTCATTCAGACAAAACTCGACAAGAAAATCTTAGAGAAACATCCGAATTAATGAATATCAAGCCAGTCAGCACAAAAGTTGCCCTCTTTATGGTCATAAGCTCCCTAATGCTGCATTTTTGTAACCATTTCATAATTTCCTACAGTTGTTGAAAGTCTACAGATGTTTCTGCATCCGTTTGATTAACAATTATGGAGTAATTTTCTAGCATAGTGATCTCCTTAGATAGTTTGGCACCTCCCCAAGCAGCAGGAACTGAGCCATGACGAAGGTCATGTTCAGGAGCTTCTTTGAGACTACTTTTATGACTTACCCATCAGTCATGATGAATTGCACAGTTCCAGAATGGCCATTCACTCCATGAATGTTATGTAATTATGTCATGGAGTACCAAATTTTTATTATTAATTTGTATCTACTTGTTTTATAAAATGCTCAATCCATGCACACAAGGATCTTAGGGCTGCTCTCGTACTATATAATTCAGTTGATTCTCATTTATATTTCCTTATGTTCATTTTGATTTTCAAAGGAAGTTTCAATGAATTGTTTTGTATTCTATTTCTTGAACATAAGTATCTTGAGCATCAAAAGAAAATGAAAAGCAACTTTACATCATGAAACTTTCTACACGGTTGACACCGATATGGATAAGCATTCTGATTTGTATTGTGGAAAAAAGTGCTTGTAAACAAAATATTAAACATTATGAAACTTGTGAAACGTATCCAAGCCTAAACATTATGAAGCATATCCAAGCCTGAACATTATGAAACTTATTATGGCATGATTGTGCATTCACTGACGCTCAGTTGTTTTCAATGAATCATGTAGTCTAATGATGGTACAACTAAGAATGTGGAAAATTGTGAAGATTTCTATGATGGTTTTGACGTAGAAGATGAATTAACTTTTGAGAACTATGAGGAACTTTTTGGTGCATCTCATGCACATTCAGAGCATCTATTCGAGGATGTCGGGATTGATTGCCTTTTTGAAATGAAGGAGAACTCTGCTGCTAATTCCAACTGTCAGGGTGAATTTGTTGCTGAGGTAAATTCTAGAAATCCTCTGTAGCGTTGTTTTATTAATAATAGGTTGCTGTCATTGTTTTAATTAACACCACTCATTCACATTGGAGGGACATCCTTTCTTTAGGCCTGACCGAGGATTTGACCTGTTTTTAGTATTTATCAGTTTTGTCAATGTGGGTCTGCAAATTCCACTATGACTACACTAAAATTCTGTCGTGCCTGCATTATTACTTTTCACATGTGGGTGAACATTATTATCATCTTCATAAGTAGACTTACCCTCCTATTTGGAGGCATTTTGCATAGGATGTTGGAAAAATGAAACGCTAAAAGATGGCTTCTCATTACCTGTTTTTTTTTTTTTTATCTGCTTGTTAATCATTGGATTATGAGTGAAGATCCCATGTCGTATTATTAAAGAATATCTTTAAACTAGTTAATCATGCATGAATGCTGTCATATGCATTAAATAAAAAGTTAAAAAAGTCCCCACTGACAAAAGAGATGAGAATAATTCGGTTCCATTGTGCGTTAATTTTGATGTTAAATTGATTGAGAAATTATCATATTTGCTTTGGGAATGTTTGTAATGCTCAACGTATCGGTCCATTTGTGAAGGACATAACTTTGTTCCCTTGCGTGTGAATATTTTTCCCATTGATTAAGAATTTATTTTTACTGCATTAACGTATAAAGTTTGTATAATACTCCCTGTAGTTGACCTAATTATGTCGAAGGTTGATTTTTTCCAAATTTACTGAAGTAATCTTTAGTTTGACATTTCTTATAAACAAGGACGCTCAAAACCCTATTGTTTAATTAACTTAGGACACTCAACTCTATTGTCTTATTAACTTGAACTCTCTACAATATTTTTTTGTTCTCCAATTCCATATCCTCATCAGTCGTGTAATATCATCGAGCATAAACACCTACAAGCTTTTTGGGACAATGCCGGCTAGCCTATGCCAGACCTGGAACCCGTGATCTTTTATAAAATATTTTGGGAAATTACTGGGATTCTGCTCAATGACCTACCAGTAGGATCTCACTGTGACGAGCTTGTTTTTTTTTGTTTTGGTCAAAATAAAGATCAATATTTTCCTATAACTTTACAGGAACAGTGCTTTTGTAAAATAGCACTGCCTAGGTTAGTTATAAGGGTTGGTCCAACCCTTTTGTTAAAATCCTTGAAAAATCATCAGGATTCTACACAATCATGATAAAATTACCGGATCTTTGTTTTACTATTGGTGAATCTATGGGGTTTGATGCAACCTTGGTAAATTTAGGAGTGCTAGAAAATTATTTGAGTTCTTAAGTGCCCTATTTTTGTAAAAGTTGAAAAGTTGACTATGAAAATGTTTTTCTTCACAAATGGCGCAAACCATAGAAAGTTATTACAAATTCTTTTTGAGGTTATGCTTGGAAGTTCATTCTTGTAATTTTCACGTATAATAGTTTCTGCTAGCTTTTATATGTTTTTTGTTTTCCTTGTTTTGCTTCTGCGCCAGGAATTTTATCCTTTGGGTTAGTGACCATCATCTATGCTGCAGGTTTGGCTATCGTGATTATGCAGAGCTTGATATTGTAACTTTATTTGAGCCTGCATACTTCAGTGGTCGAACTGTTTGATCTGCTAGTTGGTTCTTATATGGATAGTCTGTGCCTTTCTTGTTAATCAGAAGGGCTTTTCTGCATCTACTTTTTTAAGTAGAAATTAGATAAGCTTTTATGTAGATTGCATTCGAAAACTGGGGATTTGAGTCAAACAAAATGGAAAAAGCGCTGAATAATTCAAGTTAATTGCTATAGATTCATGATCAACCAATTTCCTTCACTTGAATTTAATAAAGCCATATTGTGCAGCACCATAAGATGGACTCCATACAGACGGATGTTGATTATTCTTTGTATGACTTAAAAGCATATAGAGTAATAAAAGGTTGAAGTTGTTCGCTTCACCTTCATTATTGCATTTGTTTACTGTAATCTTTATGTGAGACTAGCATATATGCATAATTTCAATAATTTTTTTTATTATTTATGTTCTTTTTCTTGTTCGTATGCATATGCTCTATATGGATGGTCCTCTGTAAACAATGCATTTGTTAATTTTATCGTACTCGCAAAAGTTAATAAGTTGAACTTTTTTGGAAGGAAATTTGTATTTACATTTGTTAAGGGTGTGTTTGGTGTGGCTGGCCTATGTGTGTCGCTAACCATTGTATGAGAGAGTCCGTCCAAGTTTCACAGCATTGTGGGAGGAAACTTACCTCCCACTTGTTTCGTTCATCCATAAAAGCACATTGTGAAGATATACTTCTCCACACTTCCAAATCGTTTTGTTTTAAAGTTGATTGAAACTGTATGCTGAACCTGCTGATTCATAAAATGTGCAGCATGAACTTAGTATTGCAAGGTTAATTATTGTAATTTTTTTTCCTTTTTTCCTATGGATAACTTCTTTTTAGGATGATTATGCTAACAGTGCTCTCCTTTTTAGGCATCATCTGCTAATCAGGTTAAATCCATGCAAGTAGCAAGCAGCAATGCTATGTCAGCTGATTCTGTGATGCCAAGCCAAGGTGGAAAAACAGAATATAACATGTCTATTTCAGCAAGGCAAGCTCATTCCAGCCTGTCCCATACTTTTTCTAGTTTAACTGGAGAAAGCAGTGCTGGTGACTATGGAGATTGTGGGATGTCTTCAATGCTTCTTATGGGTGAATCTCCATGGTATCCGACCAGTTCTGATATCTCAATTCAGGCAGCTAACAGGGGTAATGCTGTTATGCGTTACAAAGAAAAGAAAAAAGCACGCAAGTAAGTGATGTGCCTTTTTATCATTCACATTTGAATTCAGAATTTAATACTTTGTTAAGGCCTTCAATCGCTATCTCTACTTCTTATCTTGACTTTCTCGTGTCTTTTCTTCTTTATGTGGTTCACTTGTACGCTTGTTTTAAATTAATAATAAATGGTAATATAAAAACAAATGAATAAGTTGATAGAGGAGGCATACTCATGGTTGGGAGGTTTTCTTCCACTACAGTACCAATGCTAAAGGCACATTAGCTCTTAAAAGTGCAATTTATTTGCTTAAAGACATGGAAAAAAAACATCATGAATATAGCACCCTAAAGGTAATTTTGTTGCACCTTTTTGTTTTATTCGTCATTTCGTGATTCTATTGTCCACTTTGCATTCGTCCCTATTATTGTCATGTTTGGCAGCTGCAAATTCCTCTTAGGTACTCATAAGGCTATCTGTTAGCCTCTTATATTCCTTATGAGTATTCTTACTATTCTTTTCATACTTCTGCGTACTTCATGAATTGGAAATATTAATATTTAGGATGTCTATTTTCTCTAGCGATTTTGCAAAGCTATCTGCTTCGATAATTTAGTGACAAATAACTTTAATGTTGGGGAAATGCCAGCTAGCTTTTCTTTTTGATTAAGATGGATGGTTTCCCCATATTTTGAGGAATCATACCCATTGTTTTGGGTTTCTACCCTTCTTTCTCCTCTTTTAACTTATAGTATCCATGTCTTATTCAAGTGATTTGGAATGGACAAGCAAAGTTTTTATTGAATCTTCCTCTCAATTTTAGATGATGAGAGTTCATATGCTCAAAAGAACAAACATATGGGTGCCATTTATTATTGGAACATCAACTGGTTTAAACTTGATTTTATGAGGTTAAACATGTTTTGGACAACCTTAGTCAACTCTGATGAGACCTCAATCAGCTTTTCGACCTTGCTTCCAATAACAAGATCTTTTCCCCCCGAAATGATGTGTTACCTATAGTAGAAGGAATTTTTATCCGCTAACCATTGGGTACAAAGGTCCAAAGTCATTCCATAGATCATAGAGGGCTTTTATGTGTGAATATGTGAAGGTTTCTTGAATGTGATGGTGACTTGTAGGAGTGAAACTCTTGCCATTAAATGTCACGAGAGACAGCTAACAAGGGTTGTTCCGATGAATATTGGCAGTTTGAGTTGGGAAGATAATATTAGCCAGTCTTTTCTCGGTTTTGACAGATGCACACAATTGAAGAAGATTCTTTAGGGTTTAATGATTTTAATCCACTTGAGTTCTGTTTTATCTTGCTTTTTGAGTTAAGATGAACCCAATTTCCACTGAAAGCCTAATTGGAACTACCTGATATAAATTGGTGTGGCCAAATATAGTTGTAACAAATTTAAGGTGTGCAAGCTCCAAGTTCCCTTAATTTATAAATTTTAATTCAATTGATCTTTTGTGGATTGACTGATGGCTTGATTGGATTTTAGTCCGTACCTGTGCAAATTTGACGTTCAATTTGGTCTAATAATTATGCTAACCTGTGAGAGAATCAATTCTAGTATCAATTTGTGGAATCCCAACTCAATTGAGGTTAGCATGACTCTTTTGCTCAGTGAATATGGTAATTTTGTAAACCTCTACATTAATTTTGGCTTAGCATTTTAAGATTTAACTCTTCATCATCAAAGTTGATTGAGGTTGGATCTATGATAATTTTTAGGTTCAAAGTTTAAAATTGTACAATTGATTATCAAGGCTTTTTTCATCCATAAGATGAGGCGTGAGCCTTAAATTTAAAAAAATTTGTAAAGGATAAAGTTTGTATAAGCTTTAAATTTTGAAGTAAAATGTAGCATATTTTGATCTTAACATTTTAACAATTTAAAAAGTAACAGATCAATATTCTAACAAAATAAAAATAATTAATTCGGTAGATTAAGAAGTAACATATTAACATTTTGATATCAATTCATGAAATTATAATATAATGAAATATTAAAATTAGCAAAGATAAATGCAGTAACATGTTAACATTTTAACGAATATTATAAAATAATAATATAATAACCAAATTAAGTTTAATGTAAGTCTCTCTTTAAAATATAATATCCTTTACTAAATAAGAATATAACGAGCCATCAATACTTTAAGTTCAAAAAATTGACATCACTTAATGGGTTTTCATTAGAATCATTGCCATAATGAATTATAATTTCTTTGCCTCACCTCAGTTGTATGCATGCCCTCTCATCCCTTCTCATATGTAATCTTAGTAATCTCTCTTTCATAAATAATAATAGTCATTAAAAATATTAATTAAATTTTAAGATAATGATTAGTTTGATGTTTAAGAAGTTCAAATACATAATTTTTTTTTATGAATATCTTATTTATTTATTTTTTTATGGCATGTGTGCGAGGCATGAGGGTTAATAGTTAGGGTATATTTTACATTATATTTTAGCTTAAGAAAAATTAAAGAACCCCTCAACAAACTGAGGCGTGCTTAACCTTGTTGTGTAAACTACATTGTAATTTTTGGTAGAAAGCACTGAGACACGTATTGCACTTAGATCTATGATGCATTGGTTCTATTAGTTGAATCAAATGAGAACCTTAGCATCCTTCATGTTCTAGTGAGTTTATGGATTAAGCAATCATACTTGAATTTGTCTATTAAGGAAAATTTGGTAGATTTAGTTAAGCGTAGACCCATCAATTTATGCTAATTAAATTCATTTATTGCGGTCTATGAATGTAAATTGAGTTCTATTATGAGGTTTCTACAAATCAGTTAACCACTATCTTAGCACAAATGAAATTTTGGGTTACCAGTGATCTATGTTGAATTAGGTTGTCTTCAATGTTGGTTTATTTGGGATTTCAATGTTGTTTTATTTGGGATTTGATAGTAACCTACAGTTAGCTTTTGATCCATTCGAGGAAAGTTTGGTTCTTTTAATCCAAACCCAGTTAAATTTTATGAGATTAATTGAGATTTGATTTTGAGTTTACTTCCTATCTCGTTGTTTTTTGGTTGTCAAAAATCATTGAGGGACAATCGAATGGGAGTTGTTTGAATTATTCCGGACCATGGGTTTAACTTAGGAACCTGATACGTCAGATGATTTCTTTGACTCATCAATAGTCTTGTTGATCTTTCAAAGAATTTTTATTCGGACTACTAAAGCTTATCAAACCAAAAAATTTAGAAATCATTACTTCCATTGGACTTATTGAAATAAGAAGCACTTTGGCTCGACCTTTGTTTTTTGTTTTGTTCTTTTTCACCTTTTCTTTTTTTCTCTTTACTTTGTGGTTTGACTGGTTAAAGCTTATGGTGGAATTTTTCTTAACTTGGCAATTAAAGTTTTTTGGAGAGTTAAATTGATCAATATCATCCAAACTTGTGCCTGGATTAGGGTGTCAATTCGGTTTGACAGGTTGGATTTAAGTTTGACTCAATGTTGATCCAACATGAATTTTAACCAGGCACAACTCATTTACCATATAAGTCAAAATGTTTGGCATGAATCTGACTGCTGGAGTTTGATTGTATAACCCATTAATCTTATGGATCGTGCTATTTTTTAGATTAACATAGCCTAATTTACGTCAATTTAATTTGTTTAACCTAATAATATACATGCCTATTTATATATATTTTCTTAGCTTTTCAAAAGTAACTCAAATAATGAAGTCAATTTCAAGTTGATTATATGCTATTACAACTTGACTCATTTAATAATCAAGTCTGAACCTTAGATCCCAATCTGACCCAAATGATAATAGAGTCAACTCCAACTACTTTTTCTAGTCAAGTTTTTGTAAGTTTGTCATGTTGCGTCATTTATTGACCTCATACTTTGGGGTTGTGTCCATTCGTTGGAATTCTTGTTGTAGTTTGACTCCTAATTTATTTGAGAGACATTAATATGAGACTTTTATTATTTTTTGCCTTCATCATTGTTGTTTGATGAGGAGCTTTGATTGCTACTCTTGTAGGATTTTGTTATTTGGATTTGCAAGCTTTCTGCTTATGTCCATATATAGATCCTTTGAGTAGTGGGAAAATGGGGCTTTATAATGGCATAATTCATCATCAATATACATACAAACATAATTGTTCTAATCTCTCATTTAAGGATCTTCTCTCTTGGGCGAAGCTCTTATATAAGATATTCGCTTCCTTGGTGCATATGGCTAGGACTATATCTCATCTACTTGGGAGCTAGCTTGATAACTGGATGCTAATTATGGAGCCAAAATGATTCATAATGTAGGAACCATTTTTTTAAAAATCATGTAAGGCCAACAAGTTCGATTAGTCCAAACGTGTACTGGTCTTTCAACCACTTTGGTTCAAGCTCAAAATTGTTTCTGCATAAGACTGAGATTGATACGTTAGAATAAGAGTTGAGCTGACGAATCGGTCCGATTTTTAAAAAACTGTTTCAATTATTGTTCACTTTTAACCCATTTGATTTTGATAGGATGACTATAAATAAGATATGTGAATTAAAAGGGAGAAAATGTCATGTCCCAAAATTTTGATTTATAATGTTATTCAAACTATTCAAATGTGTTGTTCTAAATTAAATTTTTATTATTGAAATGAAAAAAAGAATATTGATATATAATTATTATTTTATTTAAACTATATTAAAATAGTTTTAATATTTATTATGTTATCTGGTTCAACCTCGATTAAACCTTAAACCTCTCTTTCCGGTTCGATATCCGATCTGATTTTCACAATTTTTGTAGGGGCATAAATTAAGTTTTTTTATCTATTGAGGAGAAGACATGAATTGAATATTTATATTGAAAAACATTAAATAATAGAGGGATGTTGTTATTTATCTATTATATATAAATACATATTTAAAATTTAGGGGAAACACATGCCTCTCTTAAAGCTGCTCTTATGTGTTATTCTTGTTTGGATGGTGACTATCAACTCCTTATTCATAAGGGTTTAGCTAGGTTTTAGATAGTGGAGAGGTGAG